TATTTTTTACTTAATTAAATATCATTTGTTGCTAGTGGTGAGGACAAGTCTTTTTGCTCCAATATTGCTTAGTACTTCTATTCTCTATATATTACATTTTGTAGATTATTTTTTAATTGTTCTCTTATAGTTATTTGTTGTTATTGCATTTATTGTATTTGGCAATGGCATCCTTAATAGACTATTGCATTGATCAATTAAATAAAAAAACTATGGCACATGGACATTTGTTATAAAATACTTGATATGCATTTGCAAGCTCTACATGCATGTTTATGGGACATTAAAATATCCTAGAGATACTAATGAAAAATTAAAATGAAAATCAATCAAAATAGAAATACAAGCATTGATTGCACTTAAAATTAAACCTTCTCAATTAAATAATATACACAATTGTAATATTACAAAAGAGATGTGGGATGTATTGGCTAAGATCCAAAAGCCTTCAAGAATTATTACTGAGATATTTTTAACGAAGAAATTATATAATTTTTTATATGTGGATAAAAAATCTATGGAGATTTTTCTTAGAGAGATTTTTGATCTTAGGGATCAATGTATTGAAGCCGATGGTGAAATAGAAAAATAAAGCATGACATTTCTTATACTTACTCCATTATCAAAATCTTAAGATCTATTTATTCAATCCATTGCATTGAAAAAAAAAAAACAGATCATAGAAGAGGAAATGTGATCTTTAAATCTTGAGTAAGAAATGAAAAAGAAAGAAAAGTCTAGTTCTTTATTTTCTGCTTTAATAGTGCATGCAAGAAGAAAGTAAGTCTTAAAGAAGTATCATCTACAATAAAAACAAAAGCCTAAGATTAATAAGTTTAGAAATACTTCTAGGACTTGTGGATAAAAAAGGCATTGGCAAGATCATGTAGAATGTCTTAAAATAAATGGCAATGGTGTAGTAAATGTTCTCATTATTGTTGTTCTTTCAACTCAAGAGACATCATTTGATTCAAAAACAATAATTTCTTTAGTGTCTCAATTACGACATTATATACACATTGATAATGCAACAGATGTAGACATCCAAGAAGACAAGAGTAAGTTTCTCAATTTTAATGAAAATATGATTATTTAATTTCAAGGCTATAATGGTGGCATTACTAAATCACAAGGCTTAGGTAAAATGCAACTCATAATTTTAGATCCTATAAAAAAATGTATTCCTATGGTTGTGAAGGATGTCCATTGGATTCTTAGAACACGTGATACTTTATTATCAGCTGCAACTTTATATAAGAAAGTTTGTAAATTTAACTTAGATGTGAATGGAGTTGATTGGATTATACTTTTAGATAAGTTACTCACATGAAGCATGCTAGCAAGTAAAACTTATCTCATGTCTTATGAAATTAAAGACATTGCTACAATTTTTAGCTCATCTATTTCAAATCATACACTTATTGAATGGCATCAAATATTAGCACATGCTTCAATGCATATAATAAGAGAGATAGAGCACATAAATTATATTGAATGATTAAAGATCATGGAAGAAAAGAATAAAATATCTATATGTAAGTCATATATTATTGGAAAGGTACATAAGTAACTTTTTTTATACAAGCATAAACATACCAATAATATTTTAGATGTAATAGTGTCTGATCTTAGTTATTTTGATATGGCTAGCTTTAGTAGCACCAAATAGTTAACTTTATGGATTGATGAATATTCTAACTATTGTAGCCTTACATTTCTTCAAACTAAAGACCAAGTACATATTGCTAATAAGACTTGTAAAGTAGAGGTACAAAAGCGAATTGAAAGAAAAGTGAAAAAAATTTTCATTGATCTATGCATTGAATTCTTGAAGAGTATATTTGGTTCTTATTTCAAAATTGAAGGCATTCAACACATGATGACATTTGCATATATACGTAAAATTGTCAGCAAGATAGATTATATAATGAGGATTATTTTTGAAGGAGTATGAACACTTTTGGACAATTCTAAGTTGGATCATTAGTATTTGACATTTGTAGCAAAAAAATTTATTTGAATTTATAATTACCTTCTACTTACAAGACTCGATAGTAAGATACCACATAAAGTTTTTTATGGTAAAAAACCTTCTCTTCAAAATGCTCATTGCTTTGATTTTTCTGTCAATATCAAAGAAAAAACATCAAAAATATGATACAAAGACAAGAAAGGATATTTTTGTTGGATATTCAAAAGAAAAAAAAGGATATGAAATTTCTATACTTGAGGAGAAGTAGGTGATTTTTAGTCGAGATGTGATTTTTCTTGATAATAAGGGTGAATTACTTGGTGAGCCACTAATCCCTCAAGAAAAAATTGGAGAAGATATGGATGATAGAAATAATCTTCATATACTAGATTTTCAATGTCTAAATGAATTAAAAATATCCCAACTTCAAGCCTCAAGATTATATGTACACAATAGATTGAATGGAGAAATGATTGAAGAAAAAAAAAATCTCATATCAATAAAAGTAGTAGAATTCTATCAACTAGTAGTAGAAGCAATCACTCAAGTTCTACCATCAAGACGTCCTTATGTAGGTGGCATTGACTCAAAAAATATTATAAACCATAATAGGATGCGATGCACTCCTTGAAAAAAAAGACAACAATTTTATTTGAGAAGATTATGACTTACTAATTGAAATAATAGATGTGGATCATGTTGATGAATATGCAAAACCAAAGATTGTTGAACAAGCCATGAATCCACTTTTTTGCAAAGAATGGAGTTATGACATGATAGAAGAACTTGATTCTTTGGAAGATCATGGTACATGGAAATTTTTATTTTTATCCAATGATACGAAGACTGTGGATTTAAAATAGATTTTTAAGAAAATACTTCCTAGCAATGGCTCTATTGAACATTTTAAAGCATGATTGGTTGTAAAAGATTTAATACAAATGAAAGGTCTTCTTTACCAAGAAACTTTTGCACCAATTGCTTGCCTTGCAATAATTTGTATATTTTTTGGAATTACTGCTACCTTTAATTGGAATATATTACAACTTAATATTGTTTCAGCTTATCTAAATCGTAAACTTTATGAAGTGGACATTTATATGAAAATTCTAGAAGGTTTAGAAGTTCCATCAAAATCCAAAGGCAAGATGTTCCAATTACTAAAGACTTTATATGGTTTGAAATAATCTAGACGTAGATGGAATGAGAGTTTAGATAAATCTCTATTAAATCAACAAAAGCAGACTAAGGAGCCTTGGCTGCTACAGCTAGGGAGACTTTGTGGCTTTGCAAAGTACGTAAGAATTATGACATTTTAGAATCAAAAAAGATTTTCATTTATAAGGATAATTAGAATGCCATTGCTATTGCCAAGAATCCAACACACCATGGTCGTACAAAGCATTGCGACATAGAACATCATTTCATTAGGCAATATATTGAAAAAAGACACAGTGGTTTGGAATATTATCCTATGGAGCAAATGACAGCAAATATCTTCACAAAACCTCTCCCTAGAAATAAGTTTCTAGCTTTTAGGGATATGTTAGGTCTTATTTCAATAAAGAATTAAGTCCCACTTTTGGATGAGGAGTGTTGAATACCTCATATTATATGAACAGAAAGCTGTGACTTATCTAACTAAGACATCAGAAGTGCCCTTTCCTTGGCTTCTGGCACCTTTCGTTAGCAACGAATTCTGTCCATCCTGTTTTCATGCTTTCATCCTGTTTTCATAACACAAATGCCTCCGCATAGCTGAGGATGCAGACAAGAGGAACGGGTGAATAACCCGGAATGGGGATGGATTCCATGGCGGAAAGGGGGCGATGGCTGAGCCCCGGACATGGAGCTCCTACAGCAGCACGCGTCCTTCACTTTACCCGCCTCGCAGCAACGCCCACATTTGTTTTTAGCTGCCGACAAGTTTGACCCTGTTGACCTTTTCCCAGACGAGCTGAAGAAGTAGTCGTCGACGTAGTTGGTCTGGCTTGTCAGCATGTCCAAGGATCTAACTCGTCACCGTTTCTCAGGGTGGCAATTGCGCTGGGGAGTTGCGTTCTTGCGAATGATGTGCATCCCATCTGGGCCGTGGAGATTTAAGTTGATCGCAGATTAGGCTAGGCGGTGCGGTGAGTTGGTGAGTGTTTCGCACGCAATGAGTGATATAGTGTGGTTACTTTACGATGCCTTCGTCATGTTCTGTTTTCTGCACAATCTTATGCATGGTTTGGTTGTAGACTCACGTGCAGCTCGTGGTGTTGTTCATGTTCGGGTCTGACGCTGTATGATCTTTGGCTTGAACAAGTTAAGTGCGTTTACCAATGCTTTGACGGTGTTATGGATCTTCACAAAGGCTTAGACATTCAGATCGCGTGCTTCTAGCTCCTTTCATCTCACGTTTCAATGAGTTGGTTGGAAGAGAGTGTTGGAAACAGCAACAGAAAAGGGGTGGCTCGAGAAATTGATGCTTTAAATTGAATGACAAACGCATTCGGAGCTTTGTGGGTACAGCAAAATTTTGCGTGCTTTATGGGTGCGATAGAGGTTGTGGTCAGACTTCCGCCTATGACGAGGAAGAGTTTCGCGGACAGGTAGGATATCTTAAGAGAATCTCCTGCGATCTTCACAAGGCCTACCCTCTCGAACTGTTCATCAAGATTCTGATGCCCCATATCCTGAAGCTGTACAGGCTCCCGGAATGTTACGAGTGCTCAGACAGGAGAAGAAGAAACTGATGGTAAGTAGGAGGACCTTGCGATCACGTTCTGGGACAAATAGCAAGGTGCAACCTGCACCAAAAGATGGTAGGGAAGGTCACAAGGTGAAGCAATACGGCAAAACGACGAAAGTATCGAAGCACACAGATGACTCTAAGAGGGGGCACATACTTTCAGTCCAGCCTTCTAGATGTCTCTTATCACTGCCTCACATACTAATCTCAGTTGAGGTGTTGTGCTTGATAGAAATCGTTCAACTCCAACATCAAGTGTTTCTGGGTAAACTCTACTCATCTCGTACAAGTGTGTTTTACTCGTTTTCATTTTACACTACATTCTGAATACCTTTTAAATTCAATCCAAATCAACCTGCGTACAGCTTTCCGATTGAGCTCATAGAGTGCTGAGCAACAATCCAAGGCTATAAAAACTTCCCAAACCACAATGCCTTCCAACATCCAAGCAAAAAGATGTCAACGGCCACTGTGAAGCAGAGCGGATGCGTTTCACCCACTCAGCATCTATCCAAAGCACCAACGAAAGTGTACCTCCATCCCTTGGCAAAGATTATCAACTGCAATACATATATATACAATAAATATAATACAATAAACGTGATGGGAGTGACTCTGGGCGCAGACCACATTATTTTCATCACAAACCGGCGCAAGCCTTCGTCTTCGTCTTTCGGGGCTCAGCTTTGCTGCCCCGTTGCGTCGCAAGCGCCGCCACGACGCCGCCAATATACGAATCCAGGTGTTGGATGCAGTAGCATTGGAGAATAGAAGTAACGAATGCGATTATTCAAAATAAAAAGAATTAAAAATAATACGGTGACCTCGTGAAAATCTACTTTCAATCTTCCGATTTGGTGGAGGACTCCGACACCGAATCTTGGGACTAGCTTCCAAGGTCAAAACCTTCTGCTTACATTAAGCCCATAGATTGTTCTATGCCAAAGTCTGACGCTATGCTAGTTCCCCACAAACTAACTATGGTCTCCACGGAGTGAGAACCATGGTTAGTTTCCAGCTCCTGCACTGTAGGCACGAGATTGCGAATATGGACCACTACAGGAAGGAAGTCATCGACGAACCTAATCTCGGAGGCTGCCCGTGGTTCAGCTGCTGTTGCCCTCAAACAGTTCATGCCAGACGTCCGAGAAGACTTCGACGATCACTTGGTGATAGTCGGGCTCGTTGAGCGCAAGGTAGCATTGTAGGAGCTCCTCCATGTCGGATGTCTGCTGGATGTTCTGATCGATTATCATGTCAATCATAGATGCACGAAAATCACCGTAAGGGTCGTAGGAGCTTTCCACAACCACTGCCACGCTCTCCTTAGCAACGTTGCCTGCAGGAATAGGGGGCCGAGGAGATGCGGAGCTCTCGGCCCCGAAGGTCGTTTGTTTCAACTTCTGTTGCTTGTGGGCTCTTCGTGGCTTGTTGAATTGCCGCTTTCGGCAGCTCAGCTCGTCAATCTGCAAGCGTGCGAAGTTTAGTACCGTGTTGTCTTCTCCTTGCGGGTGGTGGATCCTATCCTCGCAGATTGAGGGAGAAGGAGACAGCATTTTTGGAGTGCTGTTGTTTACATAACGATTTGACTGATGCGCCTTGCCGTGGGGGATCGTCACCCTCTCGCCCTCCACATCAAGCATTAGCTCCTGATGATTGCCCACAATGTCGGGCGACTGGAGCGTGATGCAGTGCAACTCTCGAACAGAGTCAGGGGTTTTCAAATCCTTCGATTCCCCTTCAATTCGAAGTGGGAAGGAGTTGGTCTCCCACGCCTTTGTCGAGGATTCAAGAAAGCTCTCAAAGACAGGAGAGTTGTACAGCTCGAAATTTGGGCTCTCAACCTTCAAGTCGTCGTCCTCAACGATCCTCTTGTGATTGTACTGGTCCAAAGCTTGGTCCAGGGAGAACAGGAGCTTTTTTGTCTCTTCTTCGTGTTTCTTCTCCAATTGACACTGCTTTCGGTACATCTCCGCTCCGAAGACTTTTGCTCTCAGAAGACTCTGGCTGACTGAAATGTTCCCTATGTCGACGCTGCCAATCCCCCCATTGTAAGGTACCAACGCGGTGTTGCTCTCTGCAACATTCCGAGAACTCTCATTTTTTTCGGTTTTCCAGAACTCTCTACTACTGCTGAAAGACGATATTGATGAGTTCCACGGAGGTACACGATCAGGATTCTCAAACTCGTCTTCTGAATGCGGGAGGATCATGGGTGCTTCATCAGCTTCCGGTTCAAACATAAGGTTCTCGAGCGTGGCGGATTTTTGGTTCGTTATTGGAGACAATTTCACGTCATCCACGAGGCATTTGACAACTTCCCCATACATCGTGAGATCCATGCTCCACGTTCTGGGATCATTTACCGTCCACGGCCCGTCTTTCTGATGCCTTTTGGAAGATATTTCTTCCGCATTCGTTGCTTCTGTGCACATCAACTCCTTGCTCACATCTAACTGCAACAACTCCGCCTTCTTCAGTTGCTCCATGCTTTGATGCCGAGCTTCCCGATTTCGTGAGGATAAACTCCTATATCCAGGAAAGAACCACGGGCTTCTACTTCCGCTTCGGCTTCTACTAGACGAAACTTGCTCAGAACTAAAACTGTCCTTAGAAAATGACTCCTCTCCCGTGGTACAACACAAATTTCCAAGCGAAGAAAATACTGAGAAGGATTTGCTCTTGCCGTGGTTATTCCTGTTCTTTGCAGGCGTCTCGTCCGTATCATCCGCCTCATCCGGATGCACATAACTTTTCGACTTGGAAAACGCTCTGAGCAGAGAATCTTCAGGCTTCGGACTGGCGATGAAAGCATTGTATTTCTCAACGCGGACGTTAAGGTTTGGTGAAGCTTCGATACGACTGAAGGCATTTTCATGGTTTTTGTAAATGTTTTCAACTACCTTCTTCGAGACCCGTGACTCTAAACTGTGACCGAGTACATGATCCTTCAACCTCCGATGAGGTTTTCGTCGGACAGATCTTAGGAATCTGATGAGCCATGCTTGAGGGGAGCCTCTGTTCAGGAGATGGGCCTTTTGTTTCTCAACATCGGCCATTCTCTTCCTTGATTCGTCCTTGACGTTTTTCCTAGCAAAGCACAGATACACCAGACACAGGGACCACGAATAGCACAGGAAGAGCTAAGGAGCCATTCTGAACGCTTCCTAAACAAGGCCTCCGCATTTGTGCCGTAGGTGGTGTATCCTTCCATGAGCTAAAACCACATTCTGGATCAAGATGACAGAATAAATGGCGCGAATTCCACCTCACTTCTGATCTCATCTGGTAGTCTCAGGGGCCAGCACAAAAACAGTGTCTTGGAAACCCATATTTCTTGCACTCCGGATTTGTAAGCGCTTGAGTTGTCGCACCCCATCACCAGACTCCAGCTGTAATAGCACAGGTCCGTAAGCCCTGATGCTTCACAAGTCCAAGCGCATTTTCAAGGTTTCAATCATCCATAAAGAATTGATTTGCCAGACAAGTTGACCTAATAAAACCTCAAAATCGTTAACTTTTTACAGTCGTTCATAACATTACAAAAATTCCTGGATGACAACAGCCTTATAGAGTAACATCACAAATTGTAGCAGAGGCTCGAGGGCTTTTGTACCTGGTTTGGATCGTTCTTAGTGAGCATCTTCTCCTACTTAATATTGTACCATTCGATACTTGATCCTTAAGAATCTGAAGCTCAATGCTACACACCCGCAAAAAGACGAGAGGTGTTAATCCTATAACAATTTCCAGCTAAATGCATTGCACTTAATGTCTCAACCCATTCAGAAGTTAGTGCAGACAATGCACATAGCAAACTTATAAGAAGCTGCAAATCAGGAATCCAGACCCATTGTAGCACAAGAGACTTTCCCATCGATAACTCAGCAACTGCTCTCGGGTCTACCAGAAACAGTGTCTCTTGTCAAATACAGCGGCAGGAACAAAACACGTTGGATGTCGTCGCTAATCTCTGTTGACCTAATTCGGCTGTTGAGGAGATTTGACGCGTTCTCGATTAGATTCTATGGAATTTTCACTCGAAATGATGTAAGTAGCGCTCACAGCCATATTATCGGAATAACTTGTACATCACTGCAGGAATCCCAGCAAACACAAAGTCTAATTCTTGGAATATATTCTGTTGAGGAGATTCGGAATCCAAGTCACAGGAATGCACCGCACTGTCGGCTTCTCCGAAAATCTCCTTGATAAAAGTGGATTTTCCATAGTAGCTACCTCAAATCTAGTGCTGAACGCAAAAGCCCACATCTACAAGTGCACTGAAACTCTACAACGAGGATCGCTTGGCATTTCAGGACTTCCTCATAGCCTACAATCCTCTTTCTCGATGACGGGGCATGCACAATGAGCTTGTCAAACACGAGGATTTACGAAACTGGCCACACCACCTTCCTACCCCGCCAAGTTCTCAACACATGAACATAATTCAAGACTACACTTCAAGCGCAGTGAGAAAGAGGAACGCAAATATTGCGACCCATGATCCAGGACACAAGATCAACGGTTGCAAAAATGAATCACGTTAAACCCTCGCAGCAAAAGCATAGCGGAAAGTGGACTCTATCAAAACATCTGCAGCATTGAACATTGAATGACCACCTACCCGAGTTAAGAAAGAGCACCATCAATGCGCTTCTGGAAGATGCTCACAAGCAGTGATTCAACCCCGAACCAGGAGGAAGGACACCAACTAAACCCTAGGCTCACCACAGAATCCGGCCTACAACTCGGTGGGGATCTAAAAATTCGTTTGAAGCGAAAACCTAAATGAAATTCAAATTGATTCTGTTCGACAATCCGCACATGGATAATTTCAGCCGATCTGGATCTTATCAGCCAATCTAAGCTATATAATTAGAAATCTTGACACATCATCTCCGTAGCATCGAAGAAATACACATTGGGGAGCTGAGAGAGGTCGTTAGTGGATTTTCTAAGCACCTCTCTGCGTCCAGGACGTCCTCCTTCGAGTTCGCATGCACAATCTCTTTCAGAAACTCGTGCCTGCGCAGGAGAATAACAAAGTCTGCCGCGGTCTCTGGGAGCCCTTCCCACCGCCTACATTGCAAAGTTGGCGGAATCGTGTCGAGTTTCTGCTGCCATACCAACTCGGGTCTTCGCATCACGGAAGGCAAGTAAGCTGATGGAGACTGATACCTCTGTGCCATGTCTGAATATTGATACGAGTTGCGCCAAATAACTGCCACTCTTGCTGTTTGCAAGCTCGGCAACATATATCAACGCCAACCACAACCACCTGTAAGAGAACTCAGCCAGCCGCAATGACACTACAACTTCACAGTTACGTCTGCTATGAATTAAATTTCTATTCTGCTCTCAAAAGTTAACTAACTGCTCTCAAAGTAATCGAGAATCCTCTGCTGCACTGAAGTGGAATCTCGAGTCGTCGGCCTGACTACACCCTAAAAAGTACATTCGCGGATAGCGTTTCTCGCGTGACACTTCCTGCACATGGCTGTGCAATAAATGGCCCTTTAAGGCAATGGTAGGGCGATTTCCCCCCAGGGTCAGCAGAATGCTTTTATTTTGAAATTGGCCTCGGCACTCACATCAGTTTACAAACTCCCGCTAGATTTCAAGGACAGCGACAAAATTCGTGGATGTTTGCGTTTGCTGCTCGCTCATGAAGTCGCTTTTCGTTATTTCCTAGCAATCGGAAACACAGAATCCTTGAATCGGACGCTCCTTTCTGTCTGTGGGGTGTTAATGAGCGCAATCATTATTCCCGTGCAGTTCAAGCTGGATTTGGAGTTATTTGGCAGAGTTTGTCCTCAGGTCACACTGCCCTCCTCCACTCAAGATGCTGTAGTCAAGCCATTCTCTCCCCAGACAAAACCCTTGCCTATCTCTTCTGAGCCGATTGAATTTGGAGGGTTGCATGGCATTTTATGTAATTCGTTTAGGGTCTCTGCATCCACTTCTGGCGCCTTTCGAAGCTGGGATTTGCTGTGAATATGGGAGTGCAGGCTCTGTTAGAGAAACAGAGTGAGAGAATAATTTGAGGGTCTAGTGCATTCTCATTTGAGTCATTTTCAGTATCAGGAGCGTACTGTTCTGGAGTAAATGGGTTCATCATGCTGTGAAAAAAGACTGTTGGCTTTTTGCTCGTTTCAAGTCTTGTTCGAATTTTAGGTTAACTGCGGGGTGAGGAGGAGCTGCAACTTGCATTTCATTTGTTCCAACTTTCGTGGTTCTCTTTTTTCCTGTCAAACTCAACTGTTTCGGTACGCTAACACGCTGCACCAGAGGTAGTGCGCCATACGTTAATTCTGTCGAACAGGAAAACTTGCCGCATCCACATTGCTCCGCACACACAACCTGCAAGGCACAACATACACCTGAAATGAAATAGAGGAGACCTCTTTCTTTTCCAATAACACACTTCCAGATGCAGTCACGTTGAGCTCCGACAGCAATGTGGGGCTCCAAACTTCCATGCTTTGGAGGATGCCCGATTAAGTGCAACAAATTGTGCAATTTCTTCTGATACTCAGTCCGGAAGGTGTTACAAGCAACTAAAAAGATCAGTTTCAGGTTTCAAAGCGTGTGCGCTTCAAGTGATCGGAGACCGTTTTGACATTCACTCAGCTTCAAGAAATCTCTGCACCAGCTCATTGCACAATTTATCACAATACTGTAAAGTTTATCATACAGATTACGAGCAAGCACAATCAACATTGTTACAAGCACAAGGAGGAAAACATCAACGGCCAGTGAAGCTCTTTGTTTAAACCTTTCTACCCAGCGACTATTGTCGGGGTCCGTAGATTACAAATAGGAGTAACCGGCAGGTTAATAGTATTCAGAAAAGTTCAAAATTTGGGTTATTCGATTCCCACTCAACTTCGTCACAAGGCAAATGTATGATTATTGTTGCAATAGCTAAGACATTGCAGCGGAAACTCCCATGAGATGAATCACTCATCTAGTACCACAACTACACAAGAATATCAGGCAACCGACACACTCATACACGGAAACTTTCACGATAACTCAAAAAAAGCCTTCGGCTTAAATGGCATTATTACACTTTGAATACAGTAGGTCACTGAGCAAGTCCACGAGGCAAAAGAATGGGATACTCGAATAACCTTATTCTTCACATTGTAAACCTTGAACCTGGAAAAAACCCGTGCATGCCAAGTAAAAAGAATGACGCACTATCTCCTCGATCGAATAGGATACAGAAGAATTGGACGCCATTACTCTCAACGCAGAATTGGTCAATGCTCCAAGCTCTGTGAATTCCACTTTCAATCACTCTACATGGCATTTAAACCCTCCAAAATATGCTGTTGGAAACGGAATTCATAAAACAGATTACAGAAAAGCGAATGGCAACCATGATGTTCACCGTCTCCTAAACATGGGAGCCAGTGTCACAGAATTTTGCGGTATTCTGTTCAACGTTTTCAGGGCGTTCTCGGCTGATTGCTTAGCATGAAAATTGCCATGCCGGAATGCGTCCACGAGAGACGTGTGCACGCCAGAGTCGATAGAAATGGCTTGCGCCATTTCGGTGTTGCGGAGGATCCGATCCACCATCCACACCGCCCGTTGCCGCAACACCTCTGTGCGATGCTCCTGCATGACTGTCAAAATGGGGTGTATTGCATCCGCTTCATATAATACCTACAACATACAAAATCTCGTCAAGACAACTCCTCCTGTGCAATCTCACCAAAGAGATAAAACTACACAGGCTTCTACATAAACTCGTGAAGAATGTTAAAGAGCACTAGAGCCAGGTAGAGGAACCTCCTAAAAGCTATGAAGGGACACTCTTCACAAAGTTGGGAACGCAATACCATAAGAAATAATTTCACGTAAACAGAGCTGCCGTAGGAGATGGAGATTACCATAACGCCTCTATCGATGTCGACAGTGTCCATCAGCACTGTGGACAGAGCTGCCATGGCAGCCTCCACGAGGCTCGGATTGCGGTGGTCAAGACACGCAAGGAGGGGCCCAATGGCTCCCGCTTGCAGCAAACAGAACGTGGTCTTTGCGGAACACACCCCGCCATGTAGCTGACACACGTCAGTTGTGGGCAAGGGCGGTCTTTGAAACAGGCACGGAAAAAAAGAGCATAAAGGCATCGACGCGGGAGGCTCCGGTACATTCGATAGCTGCTGCGACTTCGCAGACAGATTCTCCAATGCTTCCGCAGAAGAGCGTTGCACCTCGTCAAGGGTTGAGGTTCTCAGGAGCTCCGTAAACAAACATGTTAGATCATGCTCTTGCGCTACGCCGACGAATTCAGGGTCGTCCAGTTCGGATGTGAATCGGAGGAGGACTCCCACCAAGCCTTTCTGAAACGCCGCGATGTGGCGGCTGCCTCCAATATTGACGACTCCCCTCCTGATCTCATTCATGCGCTCGACGATCGTAGGCAAGGCGTTCTCATCGAGCAATGCGCGCGTCAGGTGCGTGTCTTGTAAGGGAAGGTTGGCCAGCAATCCAGCGGCGAAGGATTGCTCCTCTGTTGCGGACGACTGGCCTAATAGCTTCACTACTGTGCTCAATTGGCGTGTGGTGACGCGCAATCCATCTGCGAGCTCTTGGGACATGTAGAACGACAGCAGGTATAAGAGTCTGACGGAGACGACACGGAGGTCGGGTTGAGTGGCTTCCAAGAACTGGATTAAGTTGACTATGGCGCCCGCGCTTTTGATGGCGGAGACAACCTTGCTCACGGCTCTCGGCTTTGACGCTAGCCCTGCTAACACCTGCAGTAAATTTCGATAACGTTTAAGCATTGCGACACCTGTGAAGTGCATGGAAGATGTGAGATTGAAAAGGAGAGAGGGAGCGGAAATGATAAGTTAGAAACAAGTACCAGGAGAAGCTTGGCCTCGATTGCGGGCCCGGTGTTGCTGATCAAGTGGAGGAAGTTGTGCATGATGGTCTCAGATGTGAGCGTGTTGCCGCCATCATCGACGGGGATGCTCTCCCACATTCCGCTGGCGTTAACCACATTAGCAAGGATCGTAGCGGCTACCTCTTTTAGTTTCATGGGGACCATATTGGGACCGACGACAAAGAGATCGCGCATTAGAGGAATCAACACCCCCGCCTCCAGGAGCTTGCTGCCATTGGTCTCGAGCGTTGAAATGCTGCGGAGAGCTTTCAGAGCAGCCGCTTTCTCCGAAGACGAGGAGCTGCTGTTTAACATCCCCACTAACGTCCTCGACACGAGCTCGCCGGCGCGGGCCTTCGCTTCTGGGGTTAAGGTCAGTTCGGAAAGGACCTCAGCCATTTCTACACGTACCTCCGCATCGCCTGAGACACATGCCACGACGAATATTTAATAAGACTTGGGATTCACAGCGAGGCTAGCGGAGTTGAGTTGCCTACTGTTATCTACATCAAAGAAAAGCGAGGGGTTTTGTAGTACTAACCTTGAGTGAGGCGATCGAGAAGTGGTTGCACACGACCATTCTCCGCCATTTGAAGGACATTCTTGTCGCATTTTGACAAGTTGGTCAAGACGTCGTCAGCTATGTCGCCAGCAACCATGTTCTCAGAGCTGCCGCTGGTCATTCCCACGAGGAAAAGTATGGCGCCATTGGTTGCACCGATCTTCTCACACATGAAATAAGAATTTGATAGCTCGTAAAGAAGCTTTACTGATTCCTCTCGCTCAGTCGGGTCGTCTCGAGCCAAACACTTTACGGCCTGTCGCAATATGTCAGTCTGGCCTATGATTGCTTTTGCCTCATCGTCATCTTCAGCGAGGATACGAAGAGTGGAAAGGGCTAGAACCCGGGCCTCTCTTCCACTCTTCAAGCGATCCACAATTTGAGGAATTAGGCCAGCGTTGCGTATCTTGTTCTTGTTAAACTTCTTCCGACAGAGCACTTGCACATCCCGGAGGCCATGGAGTACATCGTTCTCCGAGGCATCGGCAGTAATGAGTACCTTTGCAATGTCAATGCGCGCCAGTTCGTTCCGAGTGGTCCATTCCTCAATGGTGTTCCGAACGGCAATGCTGGGCTTCGGCGGAGTAGTAATCAGCTTCCCAGTCAGGGGGCAGATTGGCTCCTTCCCTAAATCTCGACATTTTTGCAACCATTGCTCGATTGCAGACTTTTCAAAAGTTAGGCCATTCTCCAAACAAACAGGTTCGCGCATGATCTGCTTCGTGAGAGGACATAGGAAGGCTTCGTAGAGAGGCTCCAATCGCCGATACTCTTGGTGATGGGACATCACATTGGGATCCTCAGAAGGGGTGGCTAGATCAGTCGGCTGCTGTAAGAGGTTGTTGTACCCATTGCCAACCACGCCCTTTGTATCCTGCACGTCACGTTTACGCACGTCCATCTTGTTTGTCAACTTCAAATCGTCCCGCTTTGGATCCTCAACCCCAACCGCCCGCACACATGCGTGTCAGAAGATCTTGCTCCAATGCTGAGTCCTTGAAAGCCGCGCAACTAAGATCTTCTTATCCAGTCTTTTGAATCTTTGCTGGGACGATAAAAAGATGGATTAAAACAATCAAAAATGAGATCGTACTGAACCATTTAACATTTTTTACTCTCACGCGAGTGACATGTTTGCGAATTGAGATTGTATATAGACATATATTCTTTCCAGCACATAATCTATTGAGAATATTTCCAAGATTTGTCCGTCAACACTCATCGTTTGATTGAAAGAGATAAGATCTAAGTATTTCACCTTAGCTAAATTAGCTCGTGTGCAGATTTTATTAGATGCCTTGTCTGCTCCCTCCAGTCATATGTATTGCTCCAATACCAATGCCTGACCAGGAGTGCTACATTCAAAACGAAGAGTGACCCGATCACGCTTTCTCAAGGAGTAATAAATGCGACTTGGTCTGCATACATCAACCAAATTGAGAAGCAATATAGCTAATTAAAAATTTGCAACTTGGGAATGCGAAATAATTTGCATATCATCTAACCCCCACGTTGAGTCTTGGAACACCATCTTAATATGCTCAACAACATCCCGGCGTTTGTGGATCTGCAAAGTGCAAGATGCGCACCTAAGCAATCTGCTTACTACATTTGTATGGTCAAGCATATCATCACAATGAATAATGAACAATGAATGCGCTTCAAAGACGGTCCCTCAATTTGGTGCAAAAACTAGAGACTCACTAAAACAGCTGAACCAAGCTCGACCACCCCATTCATGGTTGGCACACATAAAATAGTCTGCCACAAAAAAGGACAAAAATTAACAAATGTAGATCAACTTAAGCCTAACAAATTTTATCGATGAAGTAATACGGGAGGATACCAGTCCAAAGCATAATAAAAAAAAGTATAGGAGTCGAAGCAGTGATCGAAAGTTCGTAATGAACGATTTAATTACAATTGCTTCATCTCGAGTACCTGTGAATGTGACATACCTGGATTCCTGCCATCTGTTCTTGGATAGGCCAAATGCAACAATAAAACCAACAATCTCCATGAGTGCAACATAAGCTTCATAGCAAAAACCGCCAGAATCCTAATCCTTGGGCCACTGTGCCCCCCTCACCCTTTGGCATCCTGGTGCACCGCAGATGGCAGAGAAATCCTGTGTGATGTCCTCGGGGTGCGTCGCCACACATCGGCGGTGAGTGGCAATGTACAGCCCGCTTTGACAGCTATAAGAGGCGATAAAATTCTGCGCAACTTGGATCTCTCGAAGGAGAGGCTCTAGCACTTCAGCATCGATCTCGTTTGATCCTCGCAAACTAACCACTAATGTGCACAAGTGCACCGTATACCTAGCCCACAATTTGAAATTCTCTTATTCGAAGAAAACCTTGCGCGCAGTTTTGGAATAAGCGGCGAGCCCGTTTATAATTCCCTCCAGCAGAGATGGACCAGCGGTCCGCTGCCGCATTCTACACACAATTTGACACAAATCAGCTACTGCTCAGACCTTGACAGTCTCATTTAAGTTCAGACGTGCCGGTGCTGGATATCGATATCACCCCCGAGGTGTTTGGTTGTCCCCGCTTCGAAGTTCGACAGGCTCAGTTCTTAATAACTCAATTCAGATGATGTAACGTAATCGGAAGAGGACCGTCTTATGATTCCCAAGTTTGGATCGGTGCATAGCTCGACGGCATGAATTTTTCAACATTAATAGGGGCATCATTCTCTATCCTGCTCTTCCCTCCCCCAAGAAGTCTGCGCTTTACAATCGATTAAAAAATGCCGTAAGCTTGGACTCTAATGAATGGTCTGGATTTTCAATTGGCTCGAATAGGGTGAATTGCCAAAGCTTCCTAAAACCCTCTCAATCGCCAATATCCTAATATGATCACACATTGTCGGTACAGCAAAGCTCGTCCGGATAGTCACAAGAATGGGAAGATTCAAAGCTGTTGTACCCCTCCGCTAAAATGTGAGCAAGGTGAGGGGAGGGGGGGGGGGATATAGAAAGAAAGAAAACGGAAAGTAAAACAAAACAGGCAGCAACGAAACTGCTGGAACAGATCAATTTGACGGCGGAGAATCAGTGGTGATAATATCAGGTGAAAAAACATTCAAGGATTGAATGAAGGGATCTCACCAGATACAAATCATCCTCCGATAAACTGTAGAAGATTTCTCAGCCATTTCTTTGAACACAACTTTTACGCTCCCTCAGGTCTCCACCCTCACTCAACATCTCGAATCTCGCGCTCTCAAAAACTCGTTGCCTTCCTTCCTCACTCGCACTCTCTTTCTCTCTTCCCCTCCTCATATTCCTTCCCCTACATCCAAACCACTACCAGTGTCACTGAACACCTCACTCACAGAACCTCCTACAACCCAGCAAGTGAAGTAGTACAAAACCGACAGAAACAGACGAGGGTGTCTCGCGAGTTGCAAAGCCAAGCCCGATGAGAGCAGCAAAGTAACAGTGCAACACTGACCTGCTGACAGCATTCCGCAGAGTGGGCTAGGAGGAGGAGGAGGAGGCGAGGAAGTGGCGATCCATAGAAGCCGAGGTGAAGGGAGTGATGCAGATAGATGGTCCCGACACTGGCAAGCAACGGCGGCGAGGAAAGGTGCGTCGTAGGAGGAGCAAGGCGAGAAGATCGGGTCAGAGCGCAACGACTGTTCCCCAGGCTGTGATGCCACCACCACCACCACGGCTAAGCTGGACTGAGCTGGACTAGCCTCGCAAAACCCCCACTTTTCTCCTCCCATCAGCCCCAGCTGATCTGTTTTGTAAAGTGGGTCCCGGCTAAAAGTAGAAACCGAAAGCCCCAACTCCTTCATCGATTGATTGATCGTTCAATCACCCACTGCGACAACACCATGCCACATACCACCACAGGACCCAAACTAACCCTACTACTACTACTACAGCTCTCCGTCCCTCCCTCTGAAGCCCTTTGAAGCCTTCCTCCTCCTTCCCATGCCTCCCTCGGCCTCCTCCTACCTCCCCTTTTTCCCCTACGGATGGTGAAGTTTGTGAAGTGAAGTCTGGACGGTAGATTAGCATTCCTTTGAAACACCATGTGGACTTTGCCTTTTGGAATGTTCCCACATATTCTAGTTACTGCAAGTGCGTTTGTGGGTTGCAATTGATTCATATATCTTCCTTCCAACAGTTCTAGTTTAGACCTTGTGCATTTCATGCCACTATTATTTTATTGTTTAACCTGAAGTGGTGTGTTTGAGACGAATAGTATCTAAAATTTTGTGTTTATTGTTATTATTTTCATTGCCATTTTGATATATATATATATATATATATATATGTGCATAAATATTCATGGAACATGTTTAATACAAGTATTTTTCTGGCAATAGATTTTGTTGAATTGACTAAATTCATCGACGAATGTGGTAAGATCATGAGCAAAGTGATGACCACATCTTTGCTTGTTCCAAGAACATTTATGATCACGAGTTCTTTTAAAGTAAATTTCTTGATTTTGTTGACCTGGTTTATTAATTTGAAGTCATTTAGCTCACAATTGTGGACTATCATCAAACCTTTGGTCAAACTCACACTTTCTCAAGACAAAAAGAATTTATATTTAAAAAAATCCATATTTTATACAAAAATAATTTAATAAAAGAAATAAAACAATGATAATTAAAATTAAAAAATAAAAATAAATAAAATTTCAAAAGCTACACAAATAATCAAGTGTGTACTTTGAAGTAATTCATAACACATAAATTTATTTATTTTATATTTTAATCTCTTTGCAAAAAATTAAATAAACTTATATTTTATGTATATATACACACTAATGCCTACAAGTAGGTTTGTTTAAATCTGAACCAACTCAATTAACAAACTTGATAGAGATAACTTGATTGAACATCTTAACCAACCATCCAATTCTTACTAATTCAACATGTAGCAAAATTTTACTTCTATTCTTACATATATACTATCTTAAACAGTTAAAATCTTAATTATACCTAATTTTAACCACCATAACAACAAAGTTATTGATGCACTTTGCCTAAACTTACAAGTAATCTAATTTTAATGTTGATTGATACAATGCAAGAAATACTCTACACTCTCTCAATTGTATTTACAAGATTCAAACATGCTATCTATTATCTCAATACCTTTACGACATAAATCTTTTCTAAGTCACTTTAAAACATAATCAACATTCTCTTTCACGTAGAAGAATCATAAGCACATGCACCAAATCCTAAAATAGAAAACGAAAAATAGAGAATAAAACCATAAATTGCAAACTGATTTGATCTCCACTTCATAACACCAATGGTTCATGTTCTACACTGCAAGAAGCAGTGACGACATTGTTTGATGTTCTTTCAACATCGATATCAACATCTGTGCTTAGAATTCATTCTGTGAAACTGCACCATCAACGTGAGAGCAATTCTAGACCTGGTTTTTAATAACACAAATAGCATCCGTATAAACTGGCACGTATTTATTCATTTCAGAAGCAGTGCGCTTGAACTTCAGACACATTGGCATCATATTGCTTGTGAACAACAGTACAAACTTCAATTCGTGAAAGTACATTATACATATTCAATATAAGATTTCGGAGGTTTTGAAATCTGGGGTGTGTGTGCTGTGGCCATCGTATCATGATTCAAAAGCAAACCTAACATTGAACAATATCAAGCTGGTGGTTTGGATAATCGCATGCTCTTCTCCTTGTGTCAACTCAAATGTACTTCGTCTGTGCAGGGCATCTTTATGTAAATTAAATTGCATCTGACTGTGGTTTAGGTTGCTTATACATCAGATCAAGAAATTTGGCTCGCATTTTTTTTTTTTTCGTGTCGGTGCTTGATACGGAAGACGGCGTTACTCGACATGGAGGGCAGGAAATTAGGCTTTGGAATGGGATCGTTCATAGGTATTCAGTGTATTTCATGAGGACTGGGATCCTAACTGTCGTTTTGCTTGTAAGCTTTCGTAAGCTCCAAAATTGTATAAGTGGGTATGTGCGGCATCCTTTGTGGTCGGGTGCCTCTTAGAAGCTGTTGCAACGAGAGAGACAACCCTAACATGGACACCTTCATCTATTCTTCGCTGGTGACAATGAAAGAGCTCATGGTTGTTTTCAGTGAAGAGGGTCGAAGCTATATTCGAAATATTTTAAACAGCAGTAAACTTCTCTGTATTTGGGTTTGTTCCTCAGCGTGAATGAATACGTGCCACCCATGATTAATTTGGGCTGGTCGTGGGTTTAGCACATGATTTGATACAAAACTACAATTCTTCGAAAAACAAAATGATTTCTGGCGATATGGTTCGTGAAGACACAGTATGAGAAAAGCCACACACAAGGTAAGAACGACTGACGACATCCTGGGATGCAACACGACCCGAATCAAGCAAATCAAAACGAACAAAGGAGAAACGCAAAAGCAGAGGAAGCCGTTGAGCCTAGTGTTTCAGATAATACATACAAGGTGAGACACCTCGTGAGAATTGCAAGCCCATCTTCGGAACGTTTCTGTACATGAGCCAAGAGTCAGCTGCAATCTACAAACCAGTGTGTCCAAGTAAGCCAAGTGAAATGGCGAGGATTACAAGGTCTACCAGAGAAGGAATTGCTCATGCGATGAATGTATATCTCTCAGTTTTTTAGGGAGATGATAATCAAAAACCAAATTCATCTGTAGGAATCAACATATCATTTAAATGGTTATGGTATTCCCTCAGAAATAACGAAGATGATTACGCGTATCTCAAAAATCTCACCAACTCTTCTTGTGTGAATTTTTAAAATTTAGTTCCTGAATTTTTGCACACCAATACCATTACCCGAGAAACATCGCACATGTTTATATAAAACCGATGCTAGATTGGAACTTCTTCAAAGGTCCCAGACTTTCATTGTATATAATAAGAAAAGTCACATTGATGACAAACCAATAAGGTATGTGACCAAATTCTGCAAGCGTTTGAAATCACCGTTGAATACATTACCTATTCTGCATGGAACCCACTTGTTGCGCATTCTGACCACTTGCTGAGAAGGAAAACTAGATCATCCCATACAAATTAAACCCAACATATCAGAATTTTCTTTTCGGTTTAAGTTGAAATACAGTTATTAACTCTGCTGCACAATCACAAGTTAAAAATACTGTAAACGTCGGTGAAGACAGTTGGTAACAACTAAAAGCAGGAAACACTCATCCAAACAAGCCGACACATGCTTGGGTCTTGAGCAACAACAGAAATTGACCCCGAGTGTTATGACAACATGTCCCACCTAGCTAATTTTGTTGTAAAGCGTTACAGCGTGGAAGGTTGTGAGTATATCATAAAGATTGCACAATGTATCAAACCGGTCACAAAAAACTAGTTGATTCCCTGCTTATCGACCACAACTGCCAGTTGCCTCAGATCAAACTTTTTTATTTATTTTTTAATATCAGCACTGAGTGTGAACATTGCAGTACAAGAGACAGCATTCAAAGAGAGACATCACTACAGATTCAAAGTCTTCTGAAATGGACATCTTTTCTTCAACGTCCATTCATCACGTTTCACTAGAATCTGCACTGGGTCATTCACGACCTAATTTGTCATCTCAGAAGGCAGAATTGCTAAACATCCTGCAATCACTTCATAGATTAGATGAAACATTTAATTTTGGACAGGGATCTGAGGAACCCTTGACAAGAACCCACATTTGACACCTCCTCTGCATGACCACATACAATTCCCGATCAGTGTATTGAAGACCTAAGCTCTAATGATATACAGGTCTCAAACGAGTTCATAGAACCCAGCTCGGCATAAATTCGAAGTGGTTGATAATAAAATTATTTAGGAGTATAGAGGTGCATTATGTTGGACCCAGTTTCGCAAACTGCTAGATCGGCTACTTGGTAATCAACATTAGTTGAAAGGAAAGAGACCTGAATGAAATAGCTTTACACAACAATCAGATAGGAAAACAATAAGAAAACTTCTGTGTCTTCATTGTATGGGATGTTCATGTGATTTCGCAGGTAGTAAGTGATGCCGTGGAATAATGTGAGGATTTGAATTCCACACAAGTCATTGCTTGGCAGGAAATGGCTTATCACAATGGAAAAAAAGAAAAAAGTAAAAAGAAAAGTTCAAACTTTTAAGAAACTGGGATGTTATAGATTGCACAGTCATAAGTAACAATATTGAATTTACTTATTTCAATTTTGGCTTGTTCCAAATTGGTTTTTTAAAATATAAACTATCTGTTTTAAAATTTGATGTTATTTATTACATATTAATTTGAATAAATTTATATTTATTAAAAAATTATATAACATCAATTCCCAGGTTTTGAATGAAAATTTTAATTTACTATTAATTGATATTACATTCTTTGATAGATACACATGTGTATATTTCTCCTTTATTAGCTAAAATAATTGATTAGAAAAACTCTTTACATATTTTTTTGATAATAATTCTATTCTAAATGGTTTTTGGTAAATCCATAAATAAGAAATACATTTTATATATATATATATATATATATATATATATATATATCTGTACATATATATGATGCTTTTTATGAGAATAGAAATTTTATTTTAAATGTTATTACATCAATTAAGAAGATATAAGATACTATTTTAAACCATAACCATTATTTATTTAAAATCATATGTAACATTCTTTTTAAAAGAAAATGATGTCTATAAATTAAAGTTATATAAAAACATTATTTACTTATAAATAGAGAACTAATAAATTAAAAAGTTAAAAAAATATCATAAAGTGATTATTAACAACGCAAGATTAAATTGTCATAATTTAAAGTACTAAAAATATCTTAAGAAGAAACAAAATATACAACTTCTAAAATAAATTCTCAAGAATAAATGAATACAAAAGAATTGAACAACTAAGGTTCTAAACTTAATCACAACTAAAGGAATCATAATAAGATGAATATG